AGTAGTTGATAGCCATCCAGCTTTGTTCTTCTTTTTCAGAGTTGTTTTGGCAACTGTAGATCCTTTTCAGTTCCATATTAATTTTGGAATCGGATTATCAATTTCTGCAAATAAACCTCCTGGGTTTTGACTAGGTTAGTGTTGAATTTGTATATTAGTTTGGGAATAATTGTTATCATAACAATACTGAGTTTTCTGGCCTAAAAGCAAGTTTTATCTCTCCAAGTATTAACGTCTTCTTCGATTTCTCTCAGAAGTATTTTGTAGTTTTCAGTGTATAGATATTTCACATCTTGTCTCAAACTTATCCCTAAGTATTTCATATTTTAATTTTATTATAACATTTTTAAACATTTTATTTCTGATTGTTGCTAGTATATACAAATGCAGTTCAGTTTTTTTATATTGATCTTGCATCCCACAGCCTTTCTGAACTCAAGCATTAAACTCTAGTAGCTTTTTGTACATTCGGTCTGATTTTCTACATGACATGGCTATGTCATTTGAGAATAACAGTTAAGTGCTATCTTTACAATTTGGATGATTCTTACTTCTTTTCTTCCATTTTTCCTTCTTTTCTTTCCTCTTTCTTTTTGCCCCTAATTTCACTAGCTAGAATTTCCAATACAACATTGAATAGAAGTGAAAGGGAACATGACTATCTTGTTTACGACCTTAGGGGGAAAACATTCAGTCTTTAAGTATAATGTTAGTTGTAGATTTTTTGTAAATACCCTTTATCATATAAGGAAGTTCTCCTCTATTTCTAGTTTACTGAGAGTTTTCATCAATAATGAATGTTGAATTATGTCAAATGCTTTTTCTGCCTTATAATGTGACAGTCCTCCACCAGCTTACTTAAGGGTGATATCTGCTACTTGAACATCATTTACAGAATATGGTGAGTTAACCAAATATTTTACCATGTATGTATAAATCTCAATAAAACAAAGAAATTTTAGAATTCAAATCTATAAACTTTAAAGTGTTGACTTTGTAACATGATTAATTTAAAAGTAAATTAAAATATATGAGTTTGTGTCTGGCATGGTGGCTCACATCTGTATTCCCAGCATTTGGGAGGCTGAGGTGGGCAGATCACAAGTTTGTCGAAACCAGCCTCAACAACATGGAAAAACCCTGTCTTTACCAAAAAAAAAAAAAAAAAAAAAAAAAAAATTGGCCAGGTATAGTCCCAGGTACTTGGGAGGCTGAGGTGGGAGGATCGCTTGAGCCTGGGAGGCAGAGGTTTCAGTGAGCCAAGAATGCGTCACTGTACTCCAGCCTGAATAGTGCCAGACCCTGTCTTAAAAAGAAAATATATATGTATATTAGTTTGATAAACTCCAATATAACTTTTTTACATAAAATTGACTTTTTTAAGTTTATAAATATAAATATTTAAATATGTTATTGAAATCCAATTTTGCTGGAAAGCCTAAACACAATGTGGAACCTATATTGACTTGTCTATTATCAATCTTACATACTATTATAAAACAAATGCTATGCCATTATAGCTTCTTTCAACTATCCAAAAGCTTGTGGGTCAGGTGTGAAACCTACAAGATGAAGCAAATGAGGCTTTATCTAGGGGTGACAGTTTTGTGGAAAGACATGAGTATCAGGGAAGGCTACATAATGCAAAAACAAAATTCTGTGTGGACTTGAACCCAAGGCATTTTGCTTACCAGACAAGTAAGCTGAATGACAAAGCAACAATTCCCCGTCATAAAAGTTAATTTATTTGATATTATAGTTAGACATTTAAAAATACACCAGAAGAATTTTAGAGTTTGAAAATGACAAGTTGCATTTTGTTTTGAGCAGGAAACATATCAAGACAAACTTACTTCATACAAGACATTATTATAATCCCAGTGACTCAGGAGGCCCAAGCAGGAGGACCACTTCAGGCCAGGAATTTGAGATTAGCCTAGACAACATAGCGAGACCTTGTCTCTAAGAAAATAAATTAGTCATTGTAGTAGCACACACCTATAGTTCTAGTTACCTGGGAGGCTGAGGTAGGAGGACAACTTGAGCCTAGGAGTTTGAGGCTGCAGTGAACCATGATCACGCCACTGCACTCCAGCCTAGGTGACAGATCAAGACCCCATTTCTGGGAGGGTGGGAAAACCAGCCATTGACAAGGCCTGAGCAGAGGAGGCTGCCAACTGTAGAAATTGCAAGTTACAAAGAAATTCTCTGTTTTCTACCTTGACATCTATAAAAAGTTGCTCTAAAGAAAAAGAACCAGTTCTGGCCAGGCACTGTAGCTCACACCTGTAATTCCAGCACTTTGGGACACCAGGGCAGGTGGATCACTTGAGGTCAGGAGTTTGTGACCAAGCCTGGCCAACATGGTGAAACCCTGTCTCTACTACAAATACAAAAATTAGTGGGGTGTGGTGGTGCTCACCTATAGTCCCAGCTCTCAGGAGGCTGAGGCAGAATTGCTTGAATCAGGGAGATGGAGGTTGCAGTGAGTCGAGATTGTGCCACTGCCCTCCAGCCTAGGTGACAGAGCAACACAGAAGAGAAGAGAGAGAAGAGAAGAGAAAAGAGAAGAGAAGAGAAGAGAAAAGAAGAGAACCAGTTATTTCCACTGTTTTCAGAACAAATCAACAGACTGAAGTTTACTTGTGTTGACAGTGTGTGAGGTTACAATGTGATACTTACTATTCTTGAGAAGATGGAAATGTTCAGAAAAGAAGCCACACAAAGTACATAGCAGAAGAGCAAAAATGCAAAACAGGCTTAAAGAACCCTGAGAGTTTAGAAAAAAACAATAGATCAAAGGGATCAAGAATGGGCATTAGAAGATGAAACTGAAGACAGAATAGGGAGTAGGTTCCAGGCATGGAAACAGGACATTCTCTGTGAGGAAAAGAGAAGAACTTGTTTAGTTGGGCATGAAACACACATTCTAGGTAGAAATAATTTTTTTTTTTCTTGAGACGACATCTAGCTCAGTCACCCAGGTTGGAGTTCAGTGGCACAATCTTGGTTTACTGCAACCTCCGCCTCCCAGATTCAAGCGATTCTCCTGCCTCAGCCTCCGAGTAGCTGAGATTACAGGCGCCTGCCACCACGCCTAGCTAATTTTTGTATTTGTAGTAGAGACGGGGTTTCACTGTGTTGGCCAGGCTGGTCGTGAACTCCTGACCTCGTGATCCGCCTGCCTCAGCCTCCCAAAGTGCTGGAATTACAGGCATGAGCCACCACGCCCGGCCCGGTAGAAATAATTTTTCAAAACTTAGCTGGAAAAATGTATATAGCAACAAGTAATGGTTTAAAACTCAGACTAAAAGGATAGAAGCTCTTTTGAAAAACTTTTTGAGAAGTTGCTTTCTCAAACTAAGCTTTGAAGTGTATTTCTTATCTGTCAGGAAGGTTGGAAGATGGAGAGCTTAGAAGTGGAGAAACCAGAAACTTTTCAAATCAGGGCCCCAGATGCTAGGCCATGTTCCTTCAGCTTCTGAAGTCAGCAGTGAATACATGTGACACAGCATGTGTTCGTGCTATGTGCCACGAATCCATGAAGGAATGAATGAAAAGAAAGCAAATGTGCGGGAATAATCTATAAGAGTTGGCAAGTCATTGGAGGTGGAGATGTACGTCTAATGGGTGGGAATGCACAAATCTGTAAATACGTGTCAAGTGAACCGTTGGGTACGTGCGGAAAAGGAATGTGGAGGGGACATGAGCTGATACGAGAAGGAGCACATTTCAGAATCAAAATTATTCTGCTTTCTAGTACTGGCTTTGCCACTTTTATCAGTCTTGTGACTTAAGGATGTTTTCTACTCTAAGTCTCAGCTTCATCTCTAAAATGAGGATAATGATATATGTTTGTGAAAAAAATTAAGTTGGATAAAATAAAACAATGTAAATGACTCATGTTTTGTTTTGTTTTGTTTTGTTTGAGACAGTCTTGCTCTGTTACCCAGGCTGGAGTGCAGTGGCACCATCTCGGCTCACTGCAAACTCCACCTCCTGGGTTCACGCCATTCTCCTGCCTCAGCCTCCCAATTAGCTGGGACTACAGGCTCCCGCCACCACACCAGGCTAATTTTTTGTATTTTTAGTAGAGATGGGGTTTCACCGTGTTAGCCAGAATGGTCTAGATCCCCTGACCTCATGATTCGCCCACCTCGGTCTCCCAAAGTGCTGGGATTACAGGCATGAGTCACCGCGCCTGGCCATGACTCACATTTTATTGTCCCTTAATACATAGCCCTGAATAGACGGTGGCGATTTTTTATGATAAGGTCCTTTTGGTGGCATTTTCGAGAGGAGTATCTCAGGCCATGTGCTTGCAAGTGCAGATTTAAAATAAGGAGAAATCTAGGCTGGAGACAAGTTTGCCAGCATTCAGCCATTCAGCTGTACTACGTCACCTACTCTGTACTAGGGCCAGAGAGGAAACAATGGCTGGTGAAAGAGCAACTGATATTTCTGAAGGCAGGAAGACATAAATAATTAGAACAAAAGAGAGGGTGAACAAGGAATAGTGTTGACAGCGCAGCCCTCAAGTCTTGGGTCCTTCTAAGTGCAGGATGAAAAAGGAAGCCTTCATGACACATAAATTCTTACGAGACAGTGTTTCTCTTCTGGGAGAAATGGAAACTCGGAAATCAGTGCTCTCAAAGGGAAATTAGGTATGATTTCTTGGGAGCCACAACCCAACCAGGCTATGAGGCTTTCCAAATAATACAGTCCTGAGTTTGAGCCTCAGAGAAGGCATGTATATTTTCAAGTCATGCACTGTATCAACTGCCTTTTTTGGTAGATAAAAGAAAATACTATATATGCTAATAATCATTAACAAAAAAACATTCAGGTAAAAAGAAGAAATCTGAGTTTTAACAAAACTGAAAAACACTCAGAAAAGGACTATATGGAATGATAATTTGTTTTTCATCTTCTGGATCATCCCCTGAGGAAAGCAAAGAAAGTTCCCTCAGGATATTCCAGTTGGCAACAGCGGAGCAGAGGAATATTACTTTATTCATTTATTCAGAGAAGTACTTTGCTGGGCACTGTTCTAGAAGATGGGAAATACATACAAGTGATCAAAATATAACCTACTCCACAACTCTCAAATCCAGCTCCAAAAAACTTTTAGTGTGGAGGATGGTAAAGATAATAAGCCAATAAATAAGTAAAACATAGCATTTCAGATCTGTATATTATGACCAAAAAAAAAAAAAAAAAAGGCCTAAATTGGAACAGGAAACACAGATGGGGTGCTGAATTACAAGATGGCAGTTAAAGAAGGCCTCACTGACGAGATAAGTTCCCAGTGTTAGGACCCCAATATCCTTCCTTACAAAGGGTGGGGATCCCACCCTAGAAAAGGAATAGCAGTTCAGCCGCCCCACAGCAGCTGTGGCAGGGCTGTTTCTGGATACCTTCATGGAGAAATGCACAAACTGCCCTTCATTTCAAAGATGAGCATCAGTGTCGTCTTCAGAGAAGATGCAGCCATTGTGGGGTTAGGGTTTCTCTCCTCAGGTCACTAGTGTAGGTGCACCTGCTGAGAAGTTTCAGCCACTCCACCTGCAATAAGACAGATAGTTAATGAGAAAAGCAAGAGACAGAACCTGTGAAGAACATGTGACCATCAATCATTTGAATGAAAGGGGGCAAATTTGAATGAAAGGGGACACATTTGTTTATTTGTGTTTGTATAAAGGTATTCCAGACAGGTACACAGGAAACGAAAAGTGGTTCACTGTAGTATATCAAAGACAAAACACAGCCAGGCCTTAGTTTAAATGACAAAAACAGATTTTATTTAGTAACCACTGACAGTGGGAAACCATTTGGGTTTCATAACTGGCACATATCAAAATCAGGCTCCACAAAGCCTGGGAGACCAGGGCCCTATCTTCAGACGTTGACTGAAACAAATGGTAAATTCCTTTGGCAGCATCAATTGAGTTTTCTCAGGCAGGCACTTGAGGAGATCGGGCCTATTAGAAACTACGTTCGGGTTTGTTCAGGTCTTTATAGGCCAAGGTGGCCACCTAGTCCAGAAGAGGGCTCAGAAGAATCCACCTAGAGTTTGGTCAAAAAGAGAATCGTTGCCAAGTAGATGAGGGAACTGGGCGGCTGGGAACTGTTGGGGATGGGATGGTTTATAGTATTTTTTGCATATTCAATTATTAAACCGTAGCAATGAAATACCTAATCGAAATAATAAAACGAAACAAAGTTTTAGCTACATTATCCTATCCATTATCGCCACAAGATGGCGATAGCGCTTCTCAATTCGCCTGCGGGACAGAGGAGGGTGCGGCCCCGAGAACTCCTCTCTGTGCCAACTGCAGCGTTTCGTTAGTTCAGTCGCCTGAGCTTTTCTGCATGTAGATTCCTCTCAGGGTAGCCCTTTGTTGACCAAAAAAGAAATACGTTCACTGATTTGGCCAGCTTTTTTTTTTTTTTTTTAATTTTTTTTTTGGAGGGGAAAGGGAGTGGTCATGGACATCCCGAAGTAGACACAAAATACAGAGAATCCTGCACTTCCCAAGGCTCGTCGCGGAGGCTTCAACAGTTACCAACATCTTGCCCATTTTGTTTCATTATCCGCACCCACACTGACAGATGAGGGAGTCTAAAAAATATCCGAAACATGAAATCCCATATATGTGATTTTAATTATGAATATTTTCACAAATATCCTAACAGATACGGATATAAAGAAAATACACTAAGATTTTACACCTAAGAAAATTTAAAAAATGATGTGTAACATTATCCAATACCTAGCCCTTAAAGAAAGAAAATCCTGAATTGTCTCAAGTATTTTTTATACTGATTTTGTCTGAATGAGATCCCACCAGATCCAAATACGGCATTTGGTTGCTGTTCCTCTTGAATGTATTAAAATCCGTAAATTTACCCAGGTCTCCAAATAACCTGACTGCTCTTTGAAAAAGGAATTGAGACCATAATCTGGGTGGGAATTCTCACTGATTATGGATTGTTATTGCTTTTAAAACATTCTTTGAAAAGTGTTGTGGAAAAAATGGTTTTCTTTCTTTTTTTTTTTTTTTTTTTTTGAGATCTGTCGCCCAGGCTGGAGTGCAGTGGCACGATCTGGGCTCATTGCAATCTCCGCCTCCCGAGTTCAAGTGATTCTCCTGCCTCAGCCTCCCAAGTAGCTGGGACTACAGGCACGCACCACCACGCCTGGCTTATTTTTGTATTTTTAGTAAAGACCGGGTTTCACCATGTTGGCCAGGCTGATCTCCTTCCTGACCTTACGTGATCCGCCCGCCTCAGCCTCCCAAAGTGCTGGGATTACAGACGTGAGCCACCGCGCCGGGCCAAAGGTGTACTTTTTATGAGAATATTTTTTAAAATACTCAAATTATCTGTCACGGTTCCTTGCCTATGCCCCTAAAAAGAGAGGGGAGGGGTGGGGGAAGTGGGGGGTGGAAACAGAAATAAAAAGAAAACTGACAGAGGAGGAGTCCAAAAGCCCAACTCCCATTAAGTCAAGACTTCCCACAGTTCTTTAAGCCAGCAAATGAATGTAATTTAAACTGCTTCAAACTTCATATAAAAATAAATCATTTTTGGTAAATCAATAAACAAAGAGGCATCTCCATGACTACTGGTGGGAATATGTACTCCTCCTTTTCTAAAACAAAAAAAACAGCAGAGAGCCCTGAGTTGGAAACATGGAAAGCATAACTTTTTTGAGTTGGCTATTGTTAAGTGTAATATGAGACGGACCACTCCATTCCTACATCTCTTTTCTTTAACCAATGCATTTTGGCTACCGAAGAAATTATGCCTTTTCTTAGCCACTATTCAGCACATCTACAACATCCAAAATTGAACAGTACTCCAAGAGGGTGCTAAATGACTACATGCCACTTTAACTGAGTCTTCCAAAAACTGAGACTTCTGCTTATAAGGAATGTGGTACACATTAGGACTACTGAGTCCCATGGTCATCTGCAGGGGCCTTTGAAAACAGTATGCTGAG